CGGGTCCGGGACACAAACCACGGTCGACTACGTGGGAATCCAGCGACATAGCCATTACGCTACCTGCTGGTTCCCTCGCCACCTTTCTTTGTGGGAGCCATTCTGCCGGGCCTAAGCCAGAGAGGAAGCCTCGCGTGTGTTTCTCCACGGCGTCTCCTCTTGGGTGTGTCTCCCCATAGCCGTGTTAAAAGGACACTCATTGGATGTAAGACCCAGCTGGGCTTTTCTAGATCCTGACCTCAATTCCAGATGGTGTCACATTCTGAGGCTCCGGGTGGACGTGAGTTTGGAGGACACTATTTACCTAGGCGCCTGTATTTGAAAAATCCAACAGAGACTGGGACGGCGAGGGTAGGCAGAAGGGATCGCTGGGGCGAATGTTCTGTTCCCTCCTACTTCGGTGGCTCTGCCGTGGCAGAGAATGACAAGGAAAGTGGACTGTGTGCGAGGTGGTTTTGGAGCTGCTGATTTTTTTTTAAGGTTTTTGCCATAGGGCTTGTGTACTTGGCTGGAGAGATGAACAGAGATGGTGAGAGGGAAAGTGAGAAATCATAACTCCCCCACCCCCGCAAGAGGGGATGGTCATGCTGCAATCCCTTCTCTGTTCTCCTGGGATTTGGGGCATGCACACACACACACACCCAGCATGATTTTCAAGCCACCAGGTTCAGGATCAGAACCGCCATAGCCACATAGGAGCCCAGTGCCTTGACCACCACGCCACCTGCCAGCCGGAGCTGTGATATTTACATTGGAGAGTGCTGGTTGCCAGCACCAAGCGAGGCCCATGGTTGGAGCAGGATGTTCAGGGAATGAGGAAGAGAGCTGGAGGGGGGGGGGTGTGCTCTCTGCCTGAGGGGCCGACTGTGGCTTCTCCCACTTTCTTTCCTGTTAAAAAAAGGAGGGAGGCTGGCCCCAGCTTCAGGGACCAGAAAGTGTCAATGTTTTAAAATCTGGCAATACATGTAGTTTTGGCCTTGATAGTGTGTGTTAAGGACCCAAGTTGAACAAAATAAACTCTGCAGCATTTATTTTTTATTTTGAAACAGGTTTAGATTAACAGGAAGTTCGCAGCTACACGTGGTTCCCATGTAGACTCCCGGCACTCGGCTTCCCCTGTCGTGGCACGTGTCACAACCCGTGTGAGCGGGCCGGTGCCGACGTGCCCGTGTTTTTACCACCAGAAGACCGGGCTTCCCTCGACTTTCCTTGGTTTATCTCTAACCCTTTTCAGTCCCAGAAGTCGGTACTTAGTCACCGTGTCTACTCAGGCGCTAGGCTGATGCCTGCCCTTGTTTTGACGACCTTGAGGTTCTGAGGAATCCCACGTAGGTAGTTTGTTGACCGTCCTTCAGCTTGGGTTTGTCCGATGGCTTTTCTCACGGACAGAGCCGGTTATGGGCCCTAGGGAGCAGAGCACGGAGAGCAGCTCATCGCCGTCACATCACGGGGTAAGCGTGTTCACGTGACCTGCCATGCTGCACGGGCCTGGGCCACAGCGCGGTGCTGGCTGTCAGGGCTGTGCCCGGGAAACGAGGCTCCCGCTGGGCTTCCCTCCTGTTCTGTGGGTCTGGGAGTCACTGTGCGTGGCCCACGCTTCAGCAGCGGGGGCTGGGGTCCATCTTGCGGGCAGAGTACCTCGGGAGCCCCTCGGGAGTGCTGCACGGCCATCTGCCCGTTCTCTTCACTTACCGAGTCGGCCATTTCTCGATGTCATCCGAGCGTGTGGACCCTCGCTTTATGCCTCTGACTGCGGCCCGGTGCTATGCTGTTGTTGCTGGGTACCTCGTTGCTCAGGTGTCTCGGCTCTGGCCAGGGGCTCTTCAGTCGGCGCCCTGTCCCCTGCCCCACCCCGCCAGTGCTGTGTAGGAACCTTTGATTTCGTCCTGGTGGTCTGAGCACTCCTCCTCTCGTGGTGCTCTGGAACGCTCTGACGCAGGCTATATGTGCCCTGCCCTGGCCTGCATCCAGCCACTTCCCAGAAGGCCTGTCTGGATTGGGGTCGGACCCGAGGTCAGGGCACGTTGGGGCACCGGGTGCCATGGCTTTTGGTGCTCTCAGCAGAGTGAGCTCAGGAATGTGTGTGTACTGCCCATGTGCACTGCCCCGTGTGCACTGCCCGTGTGCACTGTCCTGTGTGTACTGCCCGTGTGTACTGCCCGTGCCGCTGCCGTTGTGCTCTGTCCCGTGTGTACTGCCCGTGTGCACTGCCCTGTGTGCACTGCCCGTGTGCACTGTCCCGTGTGTACTGCCCGTGTGTACTGCCCATGTGTATTTCCCGTGTGTACTGCCCATGTGCACTGCCCCGTGTGTACTGCCTCGTGTGCACTGCCCGTATGTACTGCCCCGTGTGCACTGTACTGCCCATGTGCACTGCCCTGTGTATACTCCCCGTGTGTACTACCCTGTGTGTACTGCCTGTGTGCACTGCCCCATGTGTACTGCCCGTGTGCACTGCCCCGTGTGCACTGCCCCATGTGCACTCCCCGTGTGTACTGCCCTGTGTGTACTGCCTGTGTGCACTGCCCGTGTGCACTGCCCATGTGCACTGCCCGTGTGTACTGCCCGGTATGTACTGCCCTGTGTGTACTGCCCGTGTGCACTGCCCCATGTGTACTGCCCGTGTGCACTGCCCTGTGTGCACTGCCCCGTGTGTACTCCCCATGTGCACTGCCCCATGTGTACTGCCTGTTTGCACTGCCCCGTGTGCACTCCCCATGTGTACTGCCCCGTGTATACCTGCCCGTTGCACTGCCCGTGTGCACTGCCCTGTGTGCACTGCCCCGTGTGCACTCCCCGTGTGTACTGCCCTGTGTATTCGCCCCGTGTGCACTGCCCCATGTATACTGCCCCATGTGCACTGCCCCGTGTGCACTGCCCCGTGTGTACTGCCTGTGTGCACTGCCCCGTGTGCACTCCCCGTGTGTACTGCCCTGTGTATACGCTTCGTGTGTACTGCCTGTGTGCACTGCCCTGTGTGCACTCCCTGTGTGTACTGCCCTGTGTATACGCCCCGTGTGTACTGTCTGTGTGCACTGCCTGTGTGCATTCCCCATGTGTACTGCCCTGTGTATACGCCCCGTGTGTACTGCCCGTGTGCACTCCCTGTGTGTACTGCTCTGTGTATACACCCCGTGTGTACTGTCTGTGTGTGCTGCCCCATGTGTACTGCCCATGTGTACTGCCCGTGTGCACTCCCTGTGTGTACTGCCCTGTGTATACGCCCCGTTTGTACTGTGTGTACTGCCCCATGTGTACTGCCCATGTGTACTGCCCATGTGCACCTGCATGTGCAGTTCCGTGCCATGCCTGTATGGAGGTAGCCATGCGCTTACATGGACCCCTCTATGTGGTCTATGCTAACGGCACCTGGTTCATTCCAGCCTCTCCACTGCTTGTCTGGAACCTCCCTCTCTGACAGAAGGGGAAGGAGGCCAAGAAACCCGGCCCCAGCATCCTGCGTTCACTTCCCTAACCCTTCCCTCCCAGTGACAGCACCCAGGGCCGTTACCTGCAGCTGGCAGGAGGCGACGTTACCCACTAGAGTCCAGTGCTGGGGTGTGGTTCCTTGTGTCTTCTGCCTGACAGTCCCCGCTCATTTCCAACATCCTCAGGTGAGGACCTCCCCCTGCTCCCCTCCACGCCCCCCCCACCCCAAGGGAGGTGAGTTATTTATCTGTGACACTCTGCGTTCCATCCTGGGGGGCCCACCTCCTCATTTGGGCTTTCACTGTGTGCGTTGCTGTTCACTCTGCAGTAAGGATCCGTGGGCTCTGACAGCGCACACTGTCCCATGTTCACCTCTGCGCGTCAGACAGAATAGTTTCCTGGCCCTAAAACGTTCTCCATGCCTCGTCTATTCACCCGGACTCCCCAACCCTGGCAACCACTGATGTTTCTGTCTTTCGCTTTGCCTTTTCGAGAGTGTCTACAAATGGGACCGCACTGTCTCCCTCCCGGGTGCTCCTCTCACCCAGCCACGTGGCAGTTTTAGGCTCGTCCGTGTCGTCGCACGGATTGGTTCATTCCAGTCTGCTTACCCATCCGTCTATTGAAAAACGTCTTGGTTACTTTGAATTTTGACAATTATAAATGAAACTGCTGGAAATACTGACCTGCAGGTTTGTGTGGACATAAGTTTTTAAATCGACCGATTTAAATACCTAGCGTCAGCACAATTACTGGCTCGTGTGCGAAGGCTCTATTTAGCTTTATAGGAAGCTGCCAGACTTTGTCTTCCCAGGTGGCCAGACCCTCTGCGTTTCCCCAGCAGTGAGCGATCGTTCCTGTTGCTCGGCCTCCTGGCCAGCAATTAGTGTTTCGTCCGCTTGGAGTCTAGCCATTCTAATAGGTATATAGGGGTGTCTCATTATTGCTTTAATTTGCATTTCCCTGGGGACAGATGATGCTGAGCCTTTTCATATGCGTATTTGCCATCTGTGTATCTTCTTTGGGGAGGTGTCTTTTCACTTCTTGTGCCCGTTTTTTAAAATTGGGCTGTATGTTCTCTTACTGCTGGATTTTAAGGGTTCTTCTTATATTCTGTGTGCAAATTCTTTATCAGATAAGTGATTCATAAAGATTTCTCCCAATCAACGACTTACATTTTCATCCTATAAAATATCTTCCGCAAATTTTTTAAAAATTTTAACCAAGCCCCAGCAAATGATTTTTTTTCCTTTCGGGGAATATGCTTTTGCTATTGTATGTAAAAACTCATCAGCAAAGTCAAGGATTTTTTTAGAAGTCTTATAGATTGCATTTTGCATTGAGATTATGGTCTAGCGTCAGTTTTCACGTGGGGTGTAAGGTTGCTGTCTAGGTTCACGGTTCAAGCATCATTTGTTGAAAGATGGCCCTCTCCAGTGAATTGCCTCCGTGCCTTTGTAATTGTGCCGGTGTTTCACAGCCGCTGTTCTGCTCACTCCGGAGCCTGAGCTTGCAAGCAGTCACCTTTGTACAGGAGAAAGTTCTGACTTCCTTTTCTGCTTGTTCCACAGCAAGACCACTGGTGCAGACCCTGCCTTTAAGAACCACCGTCAACAACGGCACTGTGTTACCAAAGAAACCCAGCGGCTCTCTGCCGTCCCCCTCCGGGGCCAGGAAAGAAACCACCCTGCCTGCAGCCAAAAGGTAGAGCCGAAGAAACCCTGGGGGCTCCCAGAGGCTCCCTCCTAGGTTCACAAACGAGTGCTGCTCTTTCATGTGCCATTTTATAGTTCCGCATCTTCATTAAAGCTTGTGGGAGTTCTGCATTTGGTGTGTTGCTAGACCAGCCACCACACACAGGGGCTTCAGAAAGTTCCTGGACAAGGCGTATTAACAAAACAAAACAAACACACAAACAAAAACCCACATGGGCTTCACATTTTTTTTTTGCACCAAAATAACCTCACACTTTCCTCTTTTTGAGGGATTTTTGCAAAAGGGCTCGTGCGCTCTCCAAAGAGACATAGAGAGGCAGAGAGACAGAAAGCGAGAAATCACTTCAGGAGGGATAGCTATGCCACATCCCTTCTTCTTCATTTTCCTCTCGGGATTTTGGGGATGCACACACTTCATGTGAGTTTCTGGCCTCTGAGTCCAGGACTCGAACCACAGTCAGCCACATGGGAATCTAGCATCTTAACCACTGTCCATTTGCTGGCCCCTATAATCTCATAATTTGATTCTATTTTTCCAGGAACTTTTTGAAGTCTCTGCATATAAATGTAGTATTCTGCTCATTTTAGAATGATCGTATTGTCTTTGTAATCTCCTTAGCTAAAACCACTGTGTGCCATTTTGCGTTTTCACTGTAAGTTCTCTTTGGAAAGCAACTGGGAGTGTAACCGAGGTAAAGTCAAATTCCGATCCCCAGAGCAGACCCTAAACGTTTCTCTGAAGTTAGGATAAGCTCTACTTTTTTTTTTTGGAGAGGTTTTTGCTATAGGGCGCATGCGCTCGCCAGACAGACAGAGAGAGACAGAGAGATAGAAAGCAAGAAATCCCCCCCCCAGGGGGGATGACCACGCTGCAATCCCTTCTCCTCCATTCTCCTCTCAGGATCTTGGGCACGCATGCACACGTGCCCGGCATGAGTTTAAGCCACCGGGTCTGGGACTCAAACCGCGGTCGACTACGTGGGAGTCCAGTGACATGGCCATTATGCCAACTGCTGGTCCCAGATAAGCTCTACTTTTAAAGCGTCTCCAGCAGCGGAGCTCTGGGTCCTGACGTCGTCTGTCAGACAGACCGTGGCCTGCCCTTCCCTTTCTAGTATGTATAGCGGCACACCGAGGCTTCCTGTTCCAGAGTGTGGAAGGCCTTAGCGAAGTCCTGCCCCATCTCCTCGCGGGCCTGCTGGGACATGCCACAGGACGTGCAGGCGCCCCGAATGCCTGCCGGGTGCTGACGTGATGGTGGAGCACGCTGCGGTGCATGAGCTGGTGAGAGCAAGTGCCCCAGGGCGGGCTTCCAGCCGGAGCAGAGAACAAGGGCTCCCGTCTCCTCTTCTGCCGTGTTGCCCTCGAATGTGGTCTTGAGGTCTCTCTCCAGAGGGTGGCTGTGCACTCTGGCCCTTGCGGACACTGCTCTATCCCTCCTGTCCAATGGGAGACGCCCGAGGCTCTCGTGTGATTGTGTCGAGACAGCCACTCTAGGACAGCCTGAGCAGGAAGGCGTTGGATTCAAGCATGTCGGTCAGATGGGACAGAGGACACCGCTCAGCAAAACACGTGGGATCGCAGGAGCAGTTTATTACAGCTCCACCAGAGAGGGGGCAGGAGACAGACACGTGTGTGCGTGTGTGCACGGGAGCATGGGTACACGCATGCACACACACACGGTCTGTGGAACTTTGCCTTTATTAAGGCCCAGGAGCCTTACACCTTCGGCTTTCCCGAGGCGGTTGAGACCTGGGTAACCTAAGAGCACACGCGTGAGGCGGGTACTTATCGACGTGATTCTAGGCTTCAGCCTGGTCAGCAGCTCTGTGTGCGGGGCAGTGAGGTGACGGACAAGCATACTGTGTCACAACCACACCACGACTACATGCCACACACGGTGGGGAGGTTTTAAGTGGGCCAAAGGCCATGGGATTCAACTGGATGTTGAACACCTTATTGTCAGAGCACGGAGGCTTCCAGGGCAGCCGCTGGTGTCTTGTGATTAGACAGAGTTGAACAGGCTGTCTTCATCAAGCAGATTTTCGCTGAGTTTCACCACATAGTGTTTTGTGTATTTATTTTTTGCGAATTTTAAGAAAATTGGTTTGCAGCACTTTTTAGAACTTCAAAATGAGAGCCAGCCCATAGCCTAGTCATTAAGGGAGCCGAGTCTTCCTGGCCAACTACGGCTCGAATCCTGGCCCTGACAGCTGGAAAACACAGCAGGTCTGTGTGTGTGTTTGTGTGTGTGTCTGTCTGTGTGTGTGCTGTGTGTATGTCATGCCCAAATCACGGCAGGGTGGACCAGTGGAGGAGGAGGGGTTGCCACATAAGCACACCCTACTGGGGAATGCTCTCTCCCCCTCCCTCTGTGTCTTTCTCTCTCTTATTCTCTCTCTCTCTGGTGAGTGCGTGCATCCTCTGGCAATTTTTAAAAAAGAAGTCTAAAATGAAATTCCTGGCTTTGTTTCATGTCTATGTAATACTCGCTCGAATCCCTCGTGTTTATAATCCATGTGACATGGCCTTCTGGATTCAAATTGGCAGCCGTATTAAGACTTACCCTTCTAGATGTTGTAAGATTGACAAGACTGACTTTTTTTAAAATTCAGGTTACCATCTGCTATGATTTCTTTCTCCTGAAAGTTATTGTGGTATACAAACACGTAACAGGAAGTGTACGATCGTCTCCGTTTTCAGTGTGCGGTTCGATACGGCTAAGTATGTTCACACTGTTGCAACAGACGTCTAGAACTTTTCCATCCCCTAGAACTGGAGCTGCACACACCAAACAGTAACTCCCTCCCCACAGTTACTCTCCACTTCTGTCCCTGGGGCTGTGACTAGACACTTCACAGGAGTCACCTCTAAAGAGTCGGTCCTTCTGTGGCCACTTACCTTGTGTAGCATGATGCCCTCGAGGGGTCTCCATGTTGTAGTGTGTGGATGGTCTCCTGAGGGCTGAGTGGATTCCTTCGCATGTGCATACATCACATGTGCTTACCCGTGTGCGCATCAGACACGTGGCTCACTTTTACGCTTTCACTGTGAGCGCTGTTGCTGTGAGCGTGCTGTGAACATCTGTGCCGAAGACCCTCTCTCAGTTCTGGGGGTATACCCAGAAGAGGGGCTGCTGGGTCACATGGCAGTTCTCTTTTTGACTTTATGAGGAATAATGGCTGCACCATTTTACATGGCCACCAACAATGTCTGAGGATTCCGATTTCATTGCTCCTCGTCGACACTTGCTATTTTCTATTTCTTTTTTTTTATTTTCACTATAGGGTGCGTGCACTCTCCAGACAGACAGAGAGAGACATAGAGACAGAAAGCGAGAAATCACCCCCCAGGGGGGATGGCCACGCCGCAATCCCTTCTCCTCCATTCTCCTCTCGGGATCTTGGGCATGCACGTACACGCGCCCGGCGTGAGTTTTAAGCCACTGGGTCCGGGACACGAACTGCGGTAGACTACGTGGGAGTCCAGCGACATAGCCATTACGCTAACTGCTGGTTCCCTCTATTTTCTGTTTCTTGATGGCGGCTGTCCTAACGGGTCTGAAGTGGCACCTCACTGGTGCTGTGACTCACGTTTCTCTTAGATTAGTCATGCTGAGCATCCGTTCAGACGCTCGTTGGCCGCTTTTATGTCGTCTTTGGAGAAGTGTCTATTTAAGACCCACGTGCGTTTTTAATTGGCTTATTCTGTTGCCGGCTGTACGAGCCTCTAATTTATTCTGATATTGACCACTTACACATACATGACTTACAAGTACTCCAGCTCGTTCTCCAGGGTTTTCACCCTGAGGCTGCTTCCTTGACACACGCCTTTTTAAGTTTGATGTAGTTCCAGTTCTTTCTTTTTGCTTTTGGTGGTGGTGCTTTTGATGTCACTTCCAAGAAGTCATAGCCAAGGGACCAGCAGTTGGTGTAATGGCTATGTCGATGGACTCCCATGTAGTTGACTGTGGTTCAAGTCCCAGACCCGAGGCTTAAACTCATGTCAGGTGTGTATGCCCAAGGTCCCGAGAGGAGAATGGAGGAGAAGGGATTGTGGCGTGGCCATCCCCACGGAGGGTGATTTCTCGCTTTCTGTCTCTCTGTCCCTCTCTGTCTGTCTGGCGAGCGCATGCACCCTATAGCAAAAACCTCTCAAAAAAAAAAAAAAAAAAGAAGTCGTAGCCAAATCAGTGTCCTGAAGTTTTTCGTCTGCACATGTTTTCTTTTGGGAGTTTAACTGTTTTAGATCCTGTGTTTAGGTCTTTGATCCATTTGGAGTTCTTTCTTGTGTGTGGAGTAAGGTAGGATGCAACTTCATTCCTTTGCATGTGGATATTCAGTTTTCCAGCACAACTTTTGACAAGATTGCCCTTTTGTCATCGTGTTCTCCTGATGTTCTTGTGGAAGATCATTTGACCATATATGCAGGGCTTCTTTCCTGACCTTTCTGCTCCATTCATTGGTTTTTGTGTCTGTCTTTATGCCGATTCCACACCATCCTGATGACTGTGGCTTCGTGGTATGTTTTGAAATCAGGAAATGTGAGGCCTCCAACTTTGTTCTTCTCTTTTCGTTAAGTTTTGCCATAGAGTATATCAGTCCTGGGAAGACAGAGACAGAGAAAGTGAGAAAGTGCCCTCCGTAGGGAATGGTCACGTCGCAATCCCTCTGTCTCTCCTTTCAGGATTTTGGGCATATACACAAACACAACTCATGTTTCTCAAGCCTCTGGGTCTGGGGCTTGAACCACAGTCAGCCATATGGGATCTAGCAGCCTTAACCAACATGCCACCAGCTGACCTCTTTGTTCTGTTTTGGCTATTCAGAATCTCATGATTCTCTATGAATTTTAGGATTTTTCTTTCTTTTTTTTTTTATAAAGAACTATTTATTTAATTCCATTTGTTATTATTATTTCTTTTTAAAAAAGAAGTATTTATCTTAATTCCACTTATTATGATTTAATCTGATGAGAGAGACAGAGAGA